TAGGGAAAGGAGTTCAGGTTCTATGTTTGAAGATAAACAGGATTTGTGTGTGTGTTAGTTCTTGAAAATATGAAGTGTTGTGTAAATGTTGAAATTCAGTAGAAAAATAGAAGGAGAATCTCCTCTGGGTTTGGAGGATATCAATATGCTGTGAAACTTGTAGAGATCTCGTTATGAGTCCTTTTCTGTAGACAGTAGTGGAAACAGAAAAAAAAAAGGAGATTGCAAAGCATCAAAGGAAATTAAAATTACGAAAAATGCAGACAGGGAAAGTACATCATCATATCAAGACAAAAATTAATTTGAGATACAGGTACTCCATGGGATGATGAAACCTGGATTAAGCATATTGGTGATAGGGCTACAGATAACCTGTAGACATTAAGATAAGGATACATTTGTAGTAACAGGTAGGATTTTTGCATGTTAGTGCCATTAAGGAAAAAAAGAGACAGACACAGCAGTAGTATTAAAAACATTTTATTCTGCACTAGAAATCCCTTATTTGAAAATGTGAGGAAGGTCAGAGAAAAGTAATGAAATTACCAGGATATTTTGGCTTGTGAGGTATGATTAAACTCAAAATAAATATGCATTATCAAATTGCAACAGAAGAGAAAGTATTTTTCGTCTTTCAAATATTTTTAGATAATTGAAGAAGGGAGAGAAAATATTTAAAAGGTTGAAATGCATTTAAACTGGAAGGAACAGTATTATCTGAAGGCTAAAAATGTTGAAAATAAGATTATATGAGGTTTATGGACTGGCATTTTAAGTAGTCTAAGGGTGAGATTAAACCAGTTGCTGAAGTGTATCCTTTGGGGAGCAGCCCTGCACTGTTGAGAGGATGGCAAAATAGGTTTTGTTTGTGGCTAATTAGCATTCTCTTCCTCCTATCCACGGTACTACTGGATTGTAAATCTAGGCCGTTCTAAGAAAATTGGAAATAGTTTCTGCTACTGCATCTTTTCTGGGGTTATCCTACCAATTTTTCAATTTTATTTTTTTTTTTTAAAGAATCCTGTTTCATGTTTAGCTTTTAATGGTTAGTGACAAGAAAGGGGCAGACAGCATGGGCTGTTTGGAAGTACACGGGCACTTGGATATAATGAAATACTGTAAGCAAAAGAGCTTGGAACGGAGGCAATATGGATGGAGTGGAGCTGTCGTGATGGGATAAATACTTGAAGTAGGTGAGCGATAGGGTTGCTGATACCTGGTTTGCAGTGGGTGGCTGTTGCTCAGCCTTTCCTCCCTCCTGTTTGTAAAAATCTCCCTGCAGATCTGGATGATGGTTTAGGTTGAGTCAGAAGCTCCCTGGTTTGAAACTGGGAATGGCAAAGGAGTGAGCAGAAGTGGGAGGGCTGGTGGAGATGCTCTCCTTTGCAGGTGAAAAAAAACCAAAACCCAACTCTGTCCTGCTTTCAGAAAATGTGCTGGGTATGTGAAAAACCTCCGCAGAGCTACTAGCACACGATGCAGGGTTGCAACAGCTCGGGGAGCACGTGCAAGGAACTGAGCACTGGCCATGGCTGGCAGGCTTGCCTGAATTTTTCTGTCTCCGATAAGGCTGCAGAGTTTTGTTTTTCTGCAGGCAGCCAGGCTTTGCAGTGGCTGGACTTCAGTTAATGAAACTGTCCGTGGTTTGGTGTGGGCCAAGGCTGCAGCTCAGCTCTGCAAAGTGGTATTGAATTGCCCTTCCCTCTCCTTCTCCCCAGCTGCAGGAGCGTGTGGCCACGTGGCCCCCTTGGGGAGGCAGACCAGATAGACTAATGTTAGAGCAAATTTGGGATTCAGCCAGTGTCTGAATGACCTGGTGCTGGCTGGAGGTGCACTGCATTTATCATTGTTTTCTTTGCCCGGAAGGGTAAGCTGCAGGTAGGCTAATAAAGGGACTGAAAGGTTTGTCCTGCTTCACTGGAGGTCTGTCAGCCCCTGCACGCTCTCTGCTGAAAGGCTGCTTGGTAATTCCCACTCGGCCTTTCCTATCCATGGGATAAGGTCTGCTTTGCTTTTACTCCATTGATTTAAGCATGCTGGTGTCAGAATAGGCTCAAGTACCTCTGGGCTTTGTGGCAGAGGACCCAGGGATGGAACAGCAGCCAAAATTTAAAATCAGGATTAGTCTGTTGACACACGCATAAATCAAACGGGCCTCCTGTCATAAATCTTTTCCTTGGATTTTTTTTCTGCTGTGGTAGTGAAAGCAGTAGGAGCAGTACAGCAACCTGGGCTTCCCAGGGTTGGGCTTCAATGTCAAGGCTGTTCTCCTTAGCCCTGGGTGGCTGAATGTAGCTCCCTGCTCCCCCCTCAGTGAGATCCCTGCAGTGGCTGCAGGGCTGTGTGCTTTTGTGTTTGCTTCATGTGGCTTTCAGACATAGTGGGATAGCATTTTTATTGTCTTTTGGGGATATCTTCTGCATGGTCAATTGTCTGTTTTCTGAGTCATCTGGTTGGTGTCAACTACATCTAAGGCAGTGCTAAAAGCTGCTAAAAGTCCAGTATCCTAGTGTGGAAGTCTCTGTGGGATACCCTAAGCTGCTGGAGGAGCGGGTAATTAATGCCTTGTGTGATGGTAGTGAAGCTCATGGCTGGGAGAGAAGTGTGTATGCTCCAGGCTTGGGGCCTCAACTCAGTTCCTCACAGCTCTTTGGTCTATTCTGCATGGCCATCAAGAAGCAAATGGGATATTCCACCAGCTGATACCTGAGCACCCATGCTCTACTTGGTGCTGCCAGAGCAAAGGAGAGGTCTGCTGCACAGATGGGGTTTAAAAAATTTATTTTTCTGTTACTATAACACAACAGAGAAGGGTACTCTAAACCACACAATGTGCTTGCTTGTGAACAGAGCCGTGGGGGTCAGGCTGGAGGAAATGGACCCAGAGACGATGCTTTTGGGAATATTAAGGAATCTTGTTCTTCTATTTGTGTTTCATTCTCAGTTCCAATATTTCAGTGCCTGTTCCCCCTTCCAAACTAATGCTTTACTGTTCATGAAGGCTTATGTGAGCTTACAGGGGTATGTAATTTGCAAGCCCCATAATTTGTACTTCGTATGCCACCTGGTAACAAGAAATTTGCCCAAAAAAGATTGAAATCGCCATCGTGGCTCAGAGGAATGAGATGTGCTGGTTTTGATAGAGAAGATAATAGAAGACACTGAAATATTATAGTGGTGATGGGTGGGATATTCACATGAACACTTGTGCATGTATCATGTCTCAAGCTGATGTTCTTATCCATCTTCTGTAGTATAAAGCTCTATTCTCCTTTTCCTTTTCTTCAGGGTAACCAGGAGCCAGCAGCCACTCCTGATGCAATGGTGCAGCCATTCACCACAATCCCATTTCCGCCACCCCCACAGAACGGGATTCCCACAGAGTATGGGGTGCCACACACTCAGGACTATGCAGGCCAGACCAGCGAGCACAATCTGACGCTCTACGGGAGCACGCAGCCGCATGGGGAGCAGAGCACGAATACGGCCAGCACACAGAATGGATCTCTTGCAGTAAGTGCAGAGGGGTGTGGAGTCAGGAGAGCAGAACGGGGCTTTGGGAAAAAGTAGCCATTTATTAGATTGCTGACTTTCTTAAGCTTGCAGCAAGTTAGCTCTAGGCTTGAAAAGGGGGGAGGGAAGGAAGGAAAGAAGGGAGGAAGAGGAAGGGAGGGAGGAATTGGGAGAAAGGAAAGAAAGGGAGGGAGAGGAAGGAAGGAAGGAAGGAAGGAAGGAAGGAAGGAAGGAAGGAAGGAAGGAAGGAAGGAAGGAAAAGAAAGAAAGGAAAGAAGGAAAGGAAGGGAAGAGAACCAAACTGATAGCTTCTGACCTTCCATTATTGTCTTTTCTTTTGTACATGGTCCCTGCCTAAATAGGTGTCTGCAAAGAATAGTACTACTTGGTGTAGTGATCATGGTGTTCTTACCATGGTGGCATTATCTGAAAGCAGTCCTTTACAAGAGTGTTAATTTCCTTGAGTTAATTGGCAAACCGTTCAAATCAGTGTGATGGAGGCAAATTCTTGAAAGTTGACGGTACAAAGGATTAGGATAAACATATGCATTGTAGATGTAATCCCAATGTGATGCTGTTTTAAGAAAGCTAGCAGAGTAGAAAAACACTTTTCTTTGACTTTGTGAAGGTGACAGGGAGCTTCAGGGGGCAAAGATAAGAGAGGACCTCTCAGCTACTGGGCATCCATTTGTGAAACAAAGATTTTCACCTTGTTATATTTTTTAGATTTCTTCCTATGGCCTGTAGCTGGCACTGGGCAACATGCTGGCAGATTATCCCAGGAAAAGCTTTATCCACCTCTTAAGCCACTTGTTAAGTCTTAACTTCCTAATAAAGAGCCTTATGGTGAGATCCTTTGGTTCTCAGGGGTAGGTTTATCTGTTAATGCTTTCAGTTTTACTTTTAGTTGGGTGTTTGATTTGTAGGGATTATTTTCCCCCTGTAAGTACTGAGTGAATTCAGTGCCAACAACTGGGAAAAACTGATATTGCCAGCTCCAGTGTGCATAGTATCTGGCATGCAGCTCCGCTCTTTCTGCAGTGGGCAGTGGCTGCATGGTGATTGGCAATGCTGGTTATGACTTAGATAAGGTATCTTTGAGTTTATCCTGGGATTGCTGCATTTTTTATGTCTTCTAGAGGAAAAAAGTACAAAGCATGTTGATAGGGCATAAAAGGAACTTCATGTGCCTTCCTCAGCAAGTACAAATGTAGATGAGAAGAGATCAGGCTGGAAATAAAACCTGGAGATGGTGCAGTGTACAGAAATGCAAGTCATGATTTCATACCAGCTTGTCCATGGCCTTCTAAACCATAAGACCTGGGTTGCCCATCTCCAGCAAACAGCTTTCTCAAGCGCTGCCAGTTGGATGGGAGAGCTGGAAACAGGGAGTAAAACAGGACAGTGGCTTTACCCCTGTGTTTTTGCTGTTCCCATCCTTGCCCACAGCTTAAGAGCATTTCTTTTTAATGGAAATGATTATGGGATCCTTGACCTTGGATGTAAGCTGTTGCCAATCCTTCTGCTCCTCTTCCATATTAGGAGCCATCTCCACGGCACTGCAGGGCCAAGCTCTGTGTTTCATCAACTAAGCTGGCTCCAAGGAGCCCACAGTGTGCAGAGAGGCTGGTTAGCCTGCAGTGAGGGACTGGGAGCCCATCTGTGCGGGAGGGAGTGTTGCTGGGAGACTGCTGGGAGGCAGTGGTGTTGCCAGGAGGCTGTGGAGGAAGCCTGACTGGCAGGGGTTATCCGAGAAACAAGCTGAATAATACATATCGCTTGCACTGGCTGTTGGAAACTTGTGGGCACATCTGGTGTGACCGTTTGATGTGGTTAAAGATGTGTGAGCTGAGTGTGCAGAGTAAGGCTTACAGACTTGTAGCTAGTTGGGAAAGGGTAAGGATGCAGATGAACATGCTGCTGCTGTTATGGCTGAGGCTGATCAAACCCAGAGGATCCCAGATGACGGCACATGAAGAAATCCAGGAAGAAGGGGAGAGTGCCTTAGGCAAGGGCTTTTCACATTTACAGGGTCCTGGATTTCCTGAGTCCCTTTATCTTTCTGTTCAGGACTCCTCCTGTAAGAAGTTATTTTGATTGTGTGGAGTGCCTTTGGATATAGACAGTTGTAACTTTTCTCCTTCTTAGTATGCAGATTAATGATGAAGAAACCAGGGGAAGGAAGAAGGTTCAGTAGTTATTCAAGCTAAAGCATGCTATTAAAATACAGCAGAACAGGTTGGTTACTTCACTTTGATCATCTACAGCTAATGCCAAGTTATCCTATCCATCAGAAACACTGGTTATTACTTGCTTGACATACGTGTTCAGTCCATGTGGACTAGACTGCCATGCTTTGAGGCAGCTTTTCCTTTTACTGTTTTGTTATCTTGCTCAGACAACAGTGCTAACTTTAATAGTGCAAAAAGTTGTCATGGGTGATACATGATCCTCCCGTTATTGCGACTGACAAGCACAGCTGCTGTTGTGTGTGAAGGTGATACCCCAGACCAAACAGCCGGTGGATTTTTTAACTGCTGACTTGAAGCCTGTGCTCCCATGGGATGATTCAGAAATTCCTTTAGCTGGACAGATAAGGTGTCTCCTTGCCTTTAAGAACAAGGCCTGCACTTAGTCCAGTCAGCAGGACAGAGCGAGACAGCAAAAGTGTGGTCAGATGGTGGGGATTTTCTGTTTTCCAGGCCCATATCCTTTAGGGTCAGTTGCAAAAGTAACAGAGAATATGGAGTGGCTTAAAAGTCTCTCATGGAGAAGGGAATTTCATCTGGTAAGATGTTATGCAGCAGTGCAGTGGGGTCTACAACAAGGTCTTTAACAGACCAGATGGGAACATCTTTTTGTAGGAACATGGCAGGTTCTGGCAGGCAAATCAAATTGAACCATTTCAGAATAGTGAGGTGTTTGAGTTAATAGTGATCTGGAAGCCTGAGGTCAAATTTCAGCAGTGAACTTAAGTAAAATCGACTTTGAGAGTCAAAGTCCATTGCCTTCCTATGCAGTCTAAAAGCCCTGAGCAAGGGGACATAACTGGCTGGTGTCATCAGCTTAAGATGAGTTTGGTTCTGGAGGCCTGAGTGTGGTGGAAAGCATTCAAAGCCTTCGGAACAGAGGCATGGAAAAGAAATTGGCACAATAGGTGGTGTAATGCAAACAGCTTAATATTTTGGAATCTTTTATTTTAGGATCCAGCCTCAACTAGGGGCTTTGTTTCTTGTCTGGTATGTGGATCTTCATCTCCAAGCATCTGTCCTTTCTCTTGATAGTGTCCCAAAGCACAGCTGAAAGACCTGGATTAAAAATAGCCTGAGGTGCTTGACCATATTTGGCCTACTCAGGCTGCCTGTTGCAGCCTGTCTCTTAAAGCGTTGGTGCTCTGCATTTCACTTCTTATGGTCCTGGGTTCCCTGGTTGCTTCCCCCTTCCACCTTTGTTTGCATTACAGTGCTTATCCCTAATGGAGGCACCCAGTACAGATAACTGCAAGTGGAGATGCTAATTAGGCTGCGGTACCTCTGGCAGCTGAGCTGATCTAAAGATTCACTGCTGTCAGAAAGGAGAGATTTGGCTCCAAGCACAAACTCCCACTCCTATTTACTGGCTCTGGCATTCCTTACGTGAACCACTTTAATTCACTGACCTGGCAGAAAGCTGTCCAATTCTTTTTGCTGGGTTAATGAATTAGAGCAGCTCTTGGAGGGCTCCAGCAAATGCTGTTGTTGCAAGGTACGCGTGTGGAGTGCATGGCCAGGAGCCGAGAGCAATTGTCAGCTCTCTGCATCTCCTGATACTCTACCCGCAGAGGGAAGATTAATCATCTGCTGAACTAAAAAAGCTTGCTTGATAGTAAATGCAATGCACTTAATACGGTGAGCTGATTATTCAACTCATTTCTCTTGTTAATGTCAGAAGGAAGAATTTGTGTGTCTGTATAAATTATGGAATGCAGCTGGAGGTATAGAACTAGAGGAATAAGTTTATGTAAATTACTTGCATGAAAATGGCAAGTGCTGTCGCCTTGGTGTTATGTTGTCATGAACCAGTACAAAGCATTATTTAATTACAGAGGATTGTGTCTCTCAGCTTCTTGATGTGCCATACTGAAACATTTAACTCATCTGCTATACCATAAAGGGATATGGACATTCTGATATCTTAAAGGGGTCACATCTGTGGTGAGGGACTCGTATGTATCATGTTCAGAAGCAAGACAAGGAAGCTGTTTGGTCTGCTGGCCCTGCCCTAGGCAACTAGCAAGGATTTGGAAAAAAGGGGAGGCAACGGCAGCAAAGAGTTCCTCAACTGACTTTTGTAACACATGGATGATGTTATAATAATTACTTTCCCTTGGGTATTACTTGCCTAGTCTGAGATTGCAGAATTTTCCCCTGTAATTATTTTTCATCACTTTAGTAATTAAAGCAATTGCTCATGTGAGGTGTTCCAGGTGAAGAATATGTCTAATGAATGTCTTTACTTATCTTTTTATACTGCTGAGCAGATAGACATGAAGATGAACTAGTTTCATATAAGTAGCTACTGCTGATTGTTTGGCCACCTCAGCTAGGAAATTGCTGTCTTGAGGTAGCAAACTCTGACATTTAACATCAGGAATTTGCTTTAAGTGTGAGAGAGATTATTTTATTATTTTGAGTATGAGGCAGATTATTGTCAGCACTTGTAGACCTGTGACTAGTGAGACAAATATAAAATGATTTCCAAAAAGAAATAGGAAATAAATCAGCAAATATCATTATGTTAGAGTATACAGCTGTGATACTTCTGCATATTTCTCAAAGGTTACAGCAGATCTAGAAGTAGTACAGGGAGGATAATAGTGATGATTAAAGGGATGTAGGAGGTTCTTTATAAGAAATGAAATATTAATGTATGAAAAGAGCTGGCAGGAATGAAGCCATATAGCAAATACACAGAATATTGAATGGTACAGGAAATAAAAGAAGGAACTTCCCATTTTCACT